CCTTTTACACAATCATTCTGTTTGGCATGTTCAGTTATCACCCAACTTGGCCTTCAATGTATCAGTAAGTTTCAAAGGATTTTGGGATCCTGGAAGTTCAATTCGCTTTTTTAAGGGATAGTTAATTATGTAGATAGACAATAATACTACAAACCCAGACTGTTCTCAGTCATGTTTGGGGTAAAAGAGAATGTATTAGGCATTAACACAAACAGAACAACATGAGGGAAATGATACAGCCGGCCACAGTAATCTCACAGATGCCCCGTTTCATGAATTGTATATTAGCAGATCATCTAGGGCAGGGGTGTCCAAACTACGGTCCGCAGGCCAAATGCGGCCCGTGGATTAATTTTAAGCGGCCCACAGCTGCCAGTCGATGAATTACAGTTTAAGTCACTTCCGTGTTGGCTTCACGAGAGAGAGCGGGAGGTTGCCGCTTGATTATAGCCAGTCACACACACGATTCTGTTACGCTTATGAATGCAAGGACCAATCTGTTTTGTTCACTGGCTCGCTGACTGAATTCTCTGGCGAATTCTCTCATCAGAAACAAAAGTGCATATGTGCATACGAATGTAAGTAAGATATTCATTTCACACTGTACACACCTTCAGTGATTATAACGGAAGTTTTTGAGAGTGCTTGAACGGCTAGACTGAATGAAAATGTTCTTTGATAATATAAATGTACTTTGCTCTCTTTCTGTACAATGAAAGTGGTATAATTAGTAACTTACAATGTTTCTATTAAATTCACATTTAATACAAAGTCAGTCGTATTAAAAATATTTTATGACAGGTTTTTATGTGTAGTTAATAAATTACACTATGACTGCTTTGCCCATATAGGCTTTATATATACAGTGCCACTTGAAAGTTTGTGAACCCTTTAGAATTTTCTATATTTCTGCATAAATGACACAAAACAATAAAAATTTCACACTAGTCCTTATAGTAGACAAAGAGAACCCAAACAAACAAGTGAGACAAAAATATGTTCTTTGTCATTTATTTATTCAGGAAAATAATACAATATTACATATCAGTGAGTGGCAAATGTATGTGAATCTCTAGGATTTGCAGTTAATTTGAAGGTGAAATTAGAGTTTTCAATCAGTGAAATTACTATCAGGTGTCAGTGCGTGCCCCGTTTTATTTAAAGAACAGGGATCTATCAAAGTCTGATCATGTTTGTGGAAGTGTATCATGGCATGAACAAAGGAGATCTCTGAGGACCTCAGAAAAAGAGGTGCTGTTGCTCATCTGGCTAGAAAAGGTTACAAAAACATCTCTAAAGAGTTTTGACTCCACAAATCCACAGTCAGACAGATTGTGTACAAATGGAGGAAATTCAAGACCAGTGTTACCCTCCCCAGGAGTGATTGACCAACAAAGATCACTCCAAAAGCAAGACGTGTAATAGTCTGCGAGGTTGAAAAAAGGAACCCAGGGTAACTTCTAAGCAACTAAACGCCTTTCTCATATTGGCTAATGTTAATGTTCATGAGTCCACCATCAGGAGAACACTGAGCAACCGTGGTGTGCATGGTGCATCCAAAAAGAACATTGCTGCCAGTCTGCAGTTTGCTAAAGATCATGCAGACAAGCCAGAGGGCTACTGGAGAAATGTTTTGTGGACAGATGAGCCCAAAATAGAACGTTCTGGTTTAAATGGGAAGCATTATGTTTGAAGTAAAGAACACACTGCATTCCAGCATAAGAACCTTATCCCATCTGTGAAACATGGTGGTGGTAGTATCATGGTTTGGGCCTGTTTTGCTGCATCTGGTCCAGGATGGCTTGCCATCATTGATGGAACAATTAATTCTGAATTATACCAGCAAATTCTGAAGGAAAATATCAGGACATCTGTCCGAGAACTGAATGTCAAGAGAAAGTGGGTCATGCAGCAAGACAACGACCCCAAGCACACAAGTTGTTCTACCAAAGAATTGTTAAAGAAGAACAAAGTTAATATTTTGGAATGACTGAGTCAAATTCCACACATACTTTTGCCACTCACAGATATGTAACATTGGATCATTTTTCTCAAATAAATGGCAAAGAAAATATGTTGTCTCATTTGCTTGTTTGGGTTATCTTTGTATGCTTTCAGGCTGTCATTTATCCGTAATGTTTTAATGTTAAGTGTGATAACATGCTCTTGATTTGTATTAGATTTTTTTTTTCTTTTAAATATCTTAAGTTATTTCAAATATTTTATTTTTTCATTTTTATATTTTTATCATCTTAAAGGGGTCATATGGTGCTATTTCAAATTTTCCTTTTCTTTAAAGTGTTATGTAGCGCAAAGAAAGAAGGCGTGGTTTCAGGAACCGCAGTAGTGTTGATGAAGTCATGTCAGGGAGACGCTGTGTGTTTCTGTGCGAAAGCAAAAGCATTTTATTTGGCCTTCCGGAAGTATAGATGCAATGAGGAATCATTGGTTAAGATTTATTTACAGCAGAAGAGCACAACCCAAATGTTCGAATTTGTGCAATGCATTTTATGGACAACAGTTTTTTTAACCTAGAAGAGTACAAGGCTGGCTGTGCACAAAGGCTATTTCTAAAAAA